TGGTAAAGTCGGTCGCCAATTCCGCGGCGGTGGTTGTTCGCTCGTCCAGTCGTGTGTCGCGGTTGAGGAGGAACCGATTAGTCATCGCACACCGTCTTGCTTCGAACTGCAATTCCCGTCGGTTGAATTGCTCCTGTTTCGGTTTAGTCCGGACTGCACGGTTGTGGGCAAGCCTGCCACCGAGGTTGACGGTGGCTACTACCATATTGTGGTCTGAGTCTGTTTTGACTGGGCGAACCGGCTGGGGGATGACGACCACGTTAGATACTCGGCCGTGATGTGCCTGCCTTGTCAGGATGTAGTCAAGGCGCTTGCAATCGTTTCCCGACACACCGTTGTATGTGTGCCATATTCCGCCCTTGCGTGTCTCAAAGAACGTGTTCGTGAGAGCTAGCCTGTTTTCCGTTGCGAAGTTCAACATTAGCATGCCATTGTCGTTGAGCTCATCGCACCCGTACATTCCTATTACCCTTCCGTCCCCTCCGTCCAACCTATCTTCCGTCCGCCCGTTGGCGTCCAGTAGGACATACACACATTCTTTGGAAGGGATCCTCCGCACGAGACTGTCAAGTTTTCCCCAGAACACGCGCTTGCTGTCGGCGGTTGAAGGTTCGGTTGGAGCATACGCGGCTACGAAATTGACCGCTCCACGGTGGCCTGCCAACAGAAACCTCATGGCCATAAGGCGTTCGTCGATAAACTCCATTGTGAACGTGGATGTCTTGCACAGTGACTCTTTGACGGCTATCCCCACACCATGGACTCCACCAGTCTCCGTGCCACAGCAGAACACCCGGAAACCCGCTGCTGCAAATTCCGTTCGACCTGCCCTCCGTGTCTCCTGCATTCCTACCGCCGATACGTCTTGTCTCGCTGCCTCGTGAAGAACGCTGTAAGCTCGCCCGTATCCATTGGCCCCGTTTACAGCCAAAGTCCGCACATTCCAGGTTGCTACCCTAAGAAGTTGACCCTGCTGTCTCTTTCGCGCGGCGCGCGCTGCTCTCGTAGCTAGCCTACGCGCCGCCCGACCCCTCCTTTTCCTCCATGTTCCTCTCTCTTTTTTTTTTTTAACTATTTTCTTGCGAACACTCGGGCTAACGTGATAGTTACCCCGGTTCTTGCCTTGTTTCCCATAGAGTTGTCTTCTTGTCCCGGAGCGGTGTGGCCCTCCATCTCTGGACTCTCTCCTTTCCTCTCTCTGGGGCATACCCCCACGGCGTGCGGCCACTCCACCACCCTCACCGTGCTCTCTGCTGCTGCATAGCCCCGGTGTCCAAGCCGGGGCGTCAGGATCCAGTCTCATTTTGCAGCTACCAAAGCTGGCGGCTAAGGAGCTACCCCGATCTCACGACAGCAGTAACTGCCAACCGCCAAACTCAGGATCCCCCTCGAAACAGTGCTAGGGACCGTATAGCCGTCGTTGCTGGGTGGTCTTTCGAGGTCTAGATCCACTTGCGGAACCTCGGCCTACCCCAGGGACGGGGGGGGCAGGCCGGGGAGGAGTAGACACAGACTATCCCTAGCAGGGGTCTGTTGAACACTTGCTGTCGTGTGCATGCCAGAGCGATTGTCTGCTTCTAGATCGGGGGCAGGCGAACGCGGATTCATCTTTTGAATGTCTTCCTGGTGAGCGGCTCCCGGCATAAGCATGCATAGTACCCATGCCAGCGGGACCTTCTCCGCCCCCACTGCCTTAGAGACCGCGCTGACTAATAGAACGGCTTCCAGCGGCCCGCCGCTTGCCAGGAGCGGTGTACTTTGCTGGCTGGCGGCGTCGGCGCGGTGCTGTAAGATATCGTCTGCGAGCTCGTCGTCGACGTCGTCTTCATCGTCCTCGTCGTCGTCAGGGGGTGGGTCGGTGTCGAGGATTTGGGTTCCCGCCTTGGCGCCGTCGCTAGCGCTGCTGTTGTTGTCGCTGTCACGACCGTCACCAACCAGTGCGTGGAAATATCCGCGATGGTGACTGCTTTGCGAGGGTGCTACGCTCGCAGCCGCACCGGCGGGTTCCCCAGCTTGGGCAGGCTTCGGCTGTCCCTCTTGGGGCTGAACCGAGCCGTGGTTGGTAGTGGCAGCAGCGTCTGGACACGGCGTTGTGCTGGCGGTTTGGGCGTCAGCTGCTTTTTTTGCTGTTTCTGCTGTTCCTGCTGTTGTTGCGACCTTCCGTCCTTTTTCTTCCCTTCCTTCCTTGGATTGGAGTCCATGTTTCACACGTACGTGGGTTGCAAAGGTAGAACGCTTCGTCGAACGCCAATATGGAAGCCCTCTACTCTGTCTGGGTGAGCGGAGAGTCCGGGGTTGTGGTGGCTATGTCCTGCCACCGGAGGTTGGCTATTTCCTTTGGTGCAATGTGGCGAGGAATGCCAAGCGTGACCGAGCGAACTCAGTCAAGCTAGGGTGGTGCGGAGAGTGGGCGAGCCTTCGTGGACCCATTTCCCATTCTTCTAAATATCCATCAACTCTTCGCAGCCGTTGAGGGTCATAAGAGTTGGAGACCCTTGGAGGACAGTAATCTGTTATAACATATATATCCCCTCAGATCCTACTCTTATGTGCGTGTGTCTGTGCTCCCTGAATCTCCATATCCTGACCTCCACACAACTAATTGTTTCATGTACAGTGGAGCCGATTGTCCCGCCGATTTCAGTTGACAGGCCATAACTTCATCAATAATGTTTTTTTTTTCTTTAGTATTGATCTCCATCCCAAATGCCACAAGAGTTGTTCAGGGCCCAAATCGATTTGAGACGTTCCTGAGATTCGTGGTTTTCGTACAGGTTTTTCCAGGCGTTTTCGGGAGGGAGGGGATGAAACGTTTCGTCCAATATCTCCATAATCACTATCGTAATCATGCCGTTTTTTTTTTGCATCTCGATTGATATCTGCGGGGTTTGAGCAGGCGAACGCGATGGCGCCCTCAAAAAGAAAAAAACACTCTTAAGAAGTAGATATACGCATTTGAAGGGGCACAAGAGATTGTACTCCCCTTTTCTGGTCGCAAAACTTATCGTTTAACGCTTGATATTTCGTTGTTTTCGCTTCATCGTTGGGAAAACCCTGTTGGGAAAACCCTGTATTTACACTCGACGACACTCCCTCGCACTACTTTCTACATTTGCCAAAAACTAGTCTTCTACATACAGTACATCACGCCCAATACTACCGATCTCATCGACCGGGAGGGAAACGCAGCCGGTCGAAAAAAAACACGGACAACAAACTTCGTGGACAAACCGAAACCGACAGAAGCAATCATTCTTTCGAACCCCATGCAACGTACCGACGCTTAGCATACGTTACTTGGGGTTAACGAACTCGGATGGAGCCGGCCTACGGTGCGATTTGTGTTTCTCTTGCGCCTCTACCGCCTCGGCGCCCGTAAGCCCTGCGTCGTACACCGCGTGGAAGTTGGGCCACCTTCAGGCAGAACTTTTGAACGATGTCTAGGCGCAAGTTTTCTACCCCGAAGCTCTTGGAAACGTTCTCTCGCAAGCAGGCGATAGCGTATTTGCAGTTCCTGCGGACCCACCACTTGGATCTACCCCACACAAGCTCGATCGGGTTCAACTCGCAATGGAACTTTGGAAGCATGAGCGCAACCCCTCCGCGACCCTTCAGTAGAACCTCTAGACTAGAGTCGACGTTCGCGAAATCCTTTTGCGCGCGCAACACCGCCGGCATGCTCATCTTAGGGTTAGGCTCCTGACCCTTCTTACCCCCCAACACGGTCATCCCTGGGATCCAAAGCCCCCTCTCAAACAGGATTTGCTTCATCCCCTTGACCTTGCCTACGTGATCGGTGGCGTCTGGCTCATAGAATGGGTACTCTCCCTGCTGGAAGGTGAG